ATATTTAAATGCGATTAATAACTTGATAATTATATTACACAACAGTGAAAAGTTTGGAAGCCTACATCAAATAGTTTTTATGTACTGATAACAAACGTCTATGTAGATACTTTATATTTGTAGTGTATATCGACCCCACAATGCACAATACGTGATTTTTTTTAACGGTGCACAGTAAGGGTTAAATTGAGTCAAGTCAGCTTAATTATTATATTTTAACGTTAATGAAATTATTCTTAAACATAAACCTTTGGCCAGACTTTGATTTAGTAACAATAAATTGAATATTCATTGTTTCACATATTAATTTCGGAGTAAGATTTTTTTTTTGCAATTAGCATGAAATTATTCATATTGGTTCAATTGTGACATCACATCTGAAAATGTGTTACAATTTGTCTTTATTGTAAACATGAATTTGTTATAATTAATTTTTAAATGCCTAATTGGTGTTAATCATAAATATATAGACCATAAGTGCAAACATAGTATAGCCAACGACACGATGGCCAAGTCGTCCAATCACTTCATTGCCATTTTATTGATATTTTATTACTAAATTTGCGGTATTTTATTGTTTTATGTGCCTAAATTTTGCGCTTCAAATCAGTGAAAGTTGGTGTAAATTACGGGCGGCAGCGGTTTAGGCAGAGCACTGGCCATACCGTTCGCTAAACGTGGGGCTAATGTAATCGTTTGGGACATCAATAAGAGTGGTTTGGATGACACGGTAGAGTTGGTGTGAGCGGCCAACTAGAGGTCATAGTCGGTTCATATGTGTGCGACATTACGGACAGACATCTGGTGTACGAGACGGCGGCCAAAGTAAAGCGCGATGTGTCGGCAATCGATATACTGGTCAACAACGCGGGTGTCGTTAACGGTAAGAATCTAATGGACATTTCGGATGAGAATATTATACAGACGTTTTAAGTGAACACATTCAGCCATTTCTGGAAGTGAAGGCTGTGTTGCCGGATATGATGGCCGCAAACAGCGGTCACTTGGTGTCGATCGCATCGGCGGCCAAAACTACTGGCTTGTGTCAGCTCACAGATTACTGCGCCTCGAAATTCGCTGCCGTCGGCTTTGAAGAGTCGCTGAGGTATGAGTTGATTAACGCTAACAAATTTGGCGTCAAATCGACAGTATTTTTGCCTTATTTAATAAACACCGGAATGTTTGCTGGCTTTAAGTCGCCGATTCTGCCGGCACTGAAGCCCGACTACGTGGCCGACCTGATCATGGCCGGCGTACTTACCGATGCCGAGTTTGTGGCCGTTCCTCGCATTTTCTATATAATAAACACATTGATGGCTATTTTGCCGGTCAAAGCATTTTATAAGGCGTACGAAGTTTTGGGCGGATATCACTGGATGAAGGACTTTGTCAGACGCGAACGCACTAACCAACATTAGACTTCTGATAAATATGCACTAAAAATATTTTAATTATTGTAATTTTAAAAATGTTTAATTTCAACAAATAGAAACAACTTTTATGAAAATGAATTTTGTTCAAAAATTATTAGAACATGGATTTTCTAAGAATAAGACATTCAGATTTGTTTAAAAATTAGAAATAGAACTGTAATAACCTGAATTTTTTGTAACAGTAAATGTGTATGCCAATTGGTGTGATAGCAGGCAATTGGGAATTATTGTTATAAAATGAAAGTACATTCAATAAGTAGTCGAATGCGTCATGGCTTCATATGCCCAAACTCCCTCAGGTCTGGCAGTATTGATAGGGTTACCAGATGTCCATTTTTGTAATAGATTGTCCATTTTTGGTCTGCCTTGTCCCTTGGACTTGCAGTACCAGAAATGGACATTATTATATCCATGTTTATTAATGCAAGTTTTCACATATTTTTCGTTAGAAATCTCATGGCATATGTCATGTGTCCATTTGTGTCCATTTTTCCAGGTTTATATTTGATAAAAATCCATTTTTGATGTAAAATGATCTGGTAAGTCTAAGTATTGACCACTTTTATCGGAAAAATTTTGAAAATCAAATCTTGTAATTTATGAATAAGTATATAATATTATATATATCAATATAAAGGTATGGATGAGAGGAATATAATTCTGAAGGAATTTTCAAATTCGGATTTAATTAGAAAAGTTTATTAATAAAATAAAACATTGTGAGATAATTGTATACGTTTTGTATTACGAGTAACATAATTGTTTCACTCCACTTATATTAATTTTAATTGCGTTTACAAAAATAATCAAATTACTGAAATAAAAATTGTAATAATTTTTTATGCAAAATTTGAGATAATTAAATATTTGCTTAAAAGTTCACTTACTACTAGTTAGAATTTGAGCATGACTATCATTTTTAAACACACCTCTCAATTTGATCAAGGAAAAGTTAGATCGACATGTATTAAAGTGCATAATTCGCTTTTATTATAAAGCAATTCATTCTTTTATTATAATTATTTTTTTAAAATTAGAACTCATAAATGCAAGTTGAATAAAAGCGATTATTATTTTTTAGCAAATTTATTTGGCCTCCAACATAATATCTAAACTTTATATTGTTATGACATTGAAGAGACAAGTATTCGCACAGTTGCGGTGCGTGTCAACTGAGGGGAAGTTCAGAGCCAGAACTTCTCGCGACCAGCAGTTGACTACTTGTTCTCAGTGAACAAAAGACGATAAGAGATGAGGTGAGAGATGAGACGACGATTAAAACATGTTAAAAGACTTTATTGAGTAAAAACATAACGTTTACACCGCGAAAGTTGCAATAAGACTGAGCTCTCTATGGGTTTGAGTGCTCCTTAAATACACACAAAGTGATTGAGATATAGTGGAAAATTACAGGTAGCGTTTGACTGGTGTTTGACAAATGCCAAGATTCTTATATTATATATATATTTTTAACCAAAATTCAGGTATGAATAAAGTGTTATATAGGATCGCTAGGCCCCTCCCTCAGCCGCCCCCCGCACTACGGGATTTAACATGGGATTACAGCTAAAGTCTATGACATGGGAAAGCTCTCATTAGATTGACATGGGAACGCTCTAACATGTGTTATTATGAGATTACGGCTTAAGTCTATGACATAGGTTTAACATAGGTAATGCTAAATCTATGGAAAATGCTAACTAAATGGGACTAATGGTAATCCTACGGACTAATGTTAAGTCTATTGACAATGCTAAGTCTATGGAGGAGTGCGAATCTTATGGACTATTAAATGTGCAGATAATGCTAATTTATTCTTTATGCAATACGCGAGTTTTGGTTAACGTATAGCATCGCTATGTGATCCTTGTTCTTGTTTTTGACATCGGTTTAAAATTAGCAATGCTAAGTCTTTGTAGTGTTGGGTAAAGTGAGAAATTTCCAAAAATTACGAGAAATTTCTAACAAATTTCTTGAGAAATTTTTCCGTCTATGAGAACCCTATTATATTCTTGACGTTATATATGACCGAACGCTCTATTTAGTCCTATTTCATAGTTAAAATGAAATGTAAAAATGCTTATCATTTCTTATAATTTTCAAAACTTTTATAGAATTTTTGTTAATTTTTTTAATTAATATTTATAATGAGTCCTTCTCTTGAACTGAAGCTTTGGGCGGCAGTTGGCGGCAATAGTTGGCCAACGGCCTTGACTCTCACTCTCCACAAATAGGAAATATGACCTGTTAACAATAATTATAAATCACATTGTTATAAATAAATCAAAAATTGTACTAAAATTACAAGCCATTGGTTAGCAATAATTTATAATATAATTCTCAAAGTGTTGTACAAAATATATAAAGTAATAATTTTATGTATAAATATATTTTAAAATAGCATTTATAAATTGTGCATATTTTTTTAATGAATTTAAACGAATCTAGTTAGAGCACGTTAAATTTATACACTTATTAACTCTTAATTTTATTACATTCAATAATTTCAAACACTCTCTACTTTCACATAAACTACTAGCCATATCTTGTGGTATATGCTTTAGCATAATTTCACACTTCATAATATTGTTATGTGTAGAGCACGGATAGACACTAATGGGCTGGCCATAGGCCACACTTACTTGTCGGCACACCACAAGAATAACACACAACTTATGAGTTTTAAGGCCTTAATAAAAAACATAAATATGCCGTAAAATATAGGATCTAATTAAATACAAAATACTGAATACTTAATACATAATAATATATAAAAATGTTCCATTAGTATTAATGTACTCAGATAAATGTGATAATTAAATAGCTAAAGTAATGAATAAGTAAAATAATTAAAATTATCGCAACAAAAATAAATACATTAAATTGAATGCGAATTAAAAATGATAAATAATTTAATATTTGAATTTAGTGTTTTTGATAAATAGGCAGAAAATAGTTTACAATTTAAATTTACAATATACTGTACATTTACAATTTACAATACAAAATACAGTAAAGGTTTAAATTTATTTGGTAAAAGTTGACCATGAAAACATTGAACACTTTGACAACTAACTAAAAACACTGTAATTAAATGTCCTTTAATTTATGTAAAAAAATAATAGTTCCGGAAAAATGTTATCAGAAAAATAATTTGTACTTAAATTTTCATAACTATTTTAATGTTATTTATCAATCAAATTTTCTTATACAATTATATTCACAACAAACATACATTTATCAAAAAGAATATTTGTCTTAAAAATGTAATAACTATTTTAATACTAAATTATTATATAAAGCAAATCAAAAATAATATAAATTTCAATAAGTATTTAATGCAATAAAATTTACTTTAAAGTAAAAATTGTTTTCACTTATTCAATAAAGTGCTTATTATAATGTTGTGCTATAAGTGTCCATTAAAGTAGCGCCGACTGACAGACATATCGGACATGGCGTAACCTATCGGACAAAACGTAATACACGGACAGCATAGACGTAATACACGGGCAGCATAGACGTAATACACGGACAGCATAGACGTAATACACGGGCAGCATAGACGTAATACACGGACAGCATAGACGTAATACACGGGCAGCATAGACGT